TAATGCAAACCAATTTTAAAAAGTCTCATATTAAATTAGTTTGCATTAATTTCCAAAAGTTCCAATGGGTAACTAATTACAAAAAAAATTAATGCAAATTAATTTCAAGTTTTTCGAAACCAAAATAGATACTTATTTCGGTTCAGAAATATTTTCAAGAATTTCTGAGAGTGCCATTCGATTTCTCGCAAAAAGTTGCTTCGGGAAACTTAGCCTCTATATCAGATATACTATGGAGGCTTTGGGTTTTTTCTTTTTTGAAAAAAAACATTGAAATCTTCATCAACTATTTGAACTAATTTAGTCTCAAATTAGTCTAAATTAATTTTTAACCAAAAATTNGTAAATTAATGCCTTTTCAAATCAATTTAAATCATTCTAAAATCACAAATTCATTTAAATTAATTCGGTAGGAGATTAACAACGATAAAGTCTGCAAAAATTAATTCAGATTAATTTTAAATTGAAAATTGTTTGAATTAATTTCTTTTAGATTAGTGCAAATCGATTTATAACTAAATTGAGTTAAAGGAATTTGGAAAAAGATTAATTCAAATTAGTGTAGAGTTTTCGAATTAATGTACACTAATTCGAAGCTCGAAATTCGTGTACAGTAATTTAATATGAGACTTTGTGTAATGCGGTAACGAGGGAAATTAATTTTTTCACGAAAAAATGAATCAGATTAATGCGCATTAATTTGAAGTATATTTTTCTATTTTTTTTTTTTCATTTATTCAAAGATTTAAATTGATGCGCATTAATTTTGAACGCCAAAAAAGCTTTTAAATTAAAAAATCGAAAAAAGTCATTTTTTTAAAAAGATCATCGAACGAATATTGGAATGTTGTTGGACAATCAAGAAAAAAATCTTTGATGTTACTACAAAACCGTGGTTTTCATCAGTTTTTCGAACCGTAATATGGGTCGAAGAAATCGCGGTTTGTCCTTATCGTGGTGATATGTTTGCAATAATGAGCGTTATTTCAGTCCTGCAACCTACACTAGAATAAACAACGTTTTACTGAGTCTATTTTCCCGCTTCGTTTCTCTTAGATACAATTCGCCTGTTGCTGAAGAATTGAGTGCTAATAGATCTAGCTGTTAAGAAAGAATATGAGCTAGGACAGCGAATACATCAGGTAAATTATTGATACCAGTTCAATTTCTTTAGTCTTCCACAGAGAAAATGTGAAAATTATAAGGAAAAAGTACGACAATTCACAAAAATCGGCTAAGGCAGAAGAAGAATCTTGAGGAGGAGAAAAAATTTTCCCCTTGACTTTAGTGTAGGGTCTTACAAAATGATTGTCCATGTGTGTGCGCGCACAAGATATGGAAAAATGGCTATCGGATATTCAATGGATAAGCCAATCACAAGAGGGAAAAATAGAAAATTCTTTTTTGATAGCACAAAAAAGTCATCTATAGATAATACAAGTTACAGAATATAGATAGTCTATCATGGCAAATCGATCAAAAATACTTGCAGCCTTCCTTTGGATCTTCAGAGGGTGTCCAGAAAACTTTTTAGCTTTATATTACATTGTGCGCTTTTTCTGTGGAATCAGAGAAGTTCAGAAGATTTATCATCTAACAGGGGCCAGTTTTATTAAAAAGTTAGTTTAAGAATTGACTTAAGTGTCTTAATTAAGTTTTTTTATGAAAGTGGCCCCTGGCGCTGCGAAGACCGATCGAAGGGAGGCGTGAGCATTGTTTTGAATTATGAAATATTTTTAGACCATTGGGAATCTTTGGAGGGTCTCAAGAAAGCTTTTTAGTTTTATATATTAGACCCTCCAAATCGAAGGGTCATTAAAATGTTGGCGGTTGATGTACAATGTACTATAACCTGAAAAGTTATAAATAGTTCGAGGTGATGAACGTTTATCAAACTGGAATATGATACGGCTTTTCTGGCGATGCTGCTCAGCATTAACTAGAAATTGCTTAGTTGGAAATTGCTCGTTCGGAAAAACTGGACTCAAGTCGAAGTGCAAACTTCGACGAGCCTCTATAATCTGAAAGAGAAAGTTTAATCTGAAAAAAAATCAAAGTTCTTTGGCTTTTCTGCGTTTCTTATATAGACTGCCAACTGCAAAACAAAAAGGTGATTGTGTCCAAACGGTTTTTTCTTGTATCGTGGTCTGAAAAATAACGTGTGATAACTGCCGGTGGAAGAAAAAATCGGTAGTTATACCGAACGGTACGGTTAACCAGCGGTAATCTATAGACCGGTCGGTAACCGGCAGTATTACGAAAAAAAGTGCGATATGGGTCTCTTTTACCTACTCTTTATTTTGACGTTCAGTAAGAATTTTTTAAAACAATAGACAGCATTTCGATTTATACAAAGATTTTCTCGAAATCTTTGAAAATAAGAGTTTGTTTTACTAATTTTTAGTACAGAATCAAATCAAATGGTTTGAATTTTTGAAGTAGTTTGGATAGAGATTGCTAAGTATAGTTTGAAGATGCTTATTATTCTACTGTTTATTGATCGAACTAATGTTTTTTTTTATATTTATTTTTTATTTTTTAAATAATTTTTTAATATATTTTTTCGATGCGTCCATTAACACATCTTGATGTAAGTGTTCTTTATTACCAAAAAATGTTGAACTTGCCTTACTATCTAATATCCATGTTCCTAGTATATCTATGCCTTGTTGTTCTTCACTCATATTTTCGATATACAGAATATGATTTCCCTCTCTTTTTTCTCCAAAAAGTCGATAAAAATATGATTTTTCTAAATGTCCATGACGAGCGGTTTTCATTCCAAAAATGAGTATTTTTGTATGTTGTTTTTCTGTTTCATTAAATCGAATATTATACCATTTGCCAACTTTAGAATGAAGCATGTCTAAATGAATTTGAGCAGCATATTCAATATTAATTGTAAACAATGATCTAGCTTTTATGCAAAACTCATTCAAATTGTTATTATCAATACGTTTCGTTTTAAGAATATTTCGAATATAATCAATGGATAAATCGATTATTTGATATTGATTTTTATCCATTTTATGAGAGTGAAAATCAAATTTATTCAATTGAAGTCGAATATGTCTTAGATCTTTTAAATATTGTTTTAATTCAACTGTTTTATTCGTTGAAAGTTTGTGTTTAACATCGAATATCAATAATAGATAAATATTAAATGGAATATGCGATATAGTTTTTAAATCATGATAAAGTTTTGGTATAACTTTTTCTTCAATTCGTTGTTTATTATGTGAAAGAATGGCAAAATCACCATTTAAAATAATTAGTGGATCAATATTATTTGTAATATGACCTTTTGCTCGTTGATAATTATTTAAAAACTGAGTATTCAAATCTAATAACAAATTTTCGCTCGTATTAGACAATATTATTTGTTTAAACGCCAATAAAGAGAAAAAAACTGAGTAATGGATACAATCAATCATTTTTTTTAAGTTCAAGTTCAAGTTAATTCATCTAAAAAAATAATCTAATTAATACAGTAAATATTAATCATATTCATTTTTGTTCTATCGATAATCATTACGAGTTCTTCTGAAGTATTTAAAATTTATCGTCTAAAAAAATGTAGTACTTATTAGAGATGTGCAACTCGACCCGACCCAAAGGTTAGGTACTGTTACAAAGTTGTCGGGTATGGGTAGAGCAGTTACGGATATGGGTTCTATTTTTTTAATTTACCCGAAAACCGGAAGGTTTTAGTGGAAAATGTACAAAACTTGAATGAAAAAATACATGAAGGTTTAAAAAAAGAAAGTACTTGAAAACATAATGATAATTTGACATCTTCAGCCGAAAAACAAAAAAGAGAAAACTTTTAGGCATAGGTCGGGTACGAGTACAAACTTCTCAGGTCGGATCGAGTACAGGTACGAAGTTGTCGGGTCGGGTACGAAAATCGTACCCGTGCACATCTCTAGTGCTCACGCTAAGTTAAGATTAACTCGGGAATGAAAAGCAATAGAGAAGTTGAATAGTTTTCACACGAACGTTGAAAATATATTCTAATATAATTGTTACTGAATTTTTGCACTATGATCACGCATCAAACGTAGTATAATTTTAGTCTATCAAATCGATTCTAAGGTAAAGACTTTCTAATATTCAGTGACATTAACTTCAAACTCCATCGTTATAAAAAAAGAAAAAATATTCACTAGGTTTTTCAACCTTTTTCGAAGAAACCATTGCCATAGGACTCAGCATACTCGATAATCAATGTTTCAGTTGATACCCAGGCTTCGAGAAAGACTTTTTAAATTATTTTTTCATAAAATCATAGTCTCAGCATTAAATATTGAAAAATACTCAACCTCTCTCTTTCATTTTTGCACTCTCAAGTACAAGTAACAGCGAGCACTGCACTTTTGGACAGATGATAAATAGGTATTGAGTAGTTAGAACAACGTAAACAAAAATTAGATAGTTTGACATATCATCAGAATTATATTCAACCAAAACAACAAAAAAAAAATGATTCTAGACATCATTATCTATTCGGTTCTGATTATTTTATGTTATATAATATACTATGTTATTTTCTTCTCTTCTTATTGTAGAATATAGACTAGAAACTAGATAAAGAGTCTACTGTTTTTATCGAATGACTATTTGTAAAATTAATGGTAGTCAAGTAAGAAAAGAAAAGAGACGTCGAACAGCGAATCTAGATTAATATATAGAAAAACATAAAAAAGAAAACTATTGATAAGTAGTTAGTGATACTAACATTTTTCACATTTGTTTTAAATATTTATCTCATTCCTTATATTTCATCTCACTGAAAAATAGTCACCAATCATATCATCTCCGTGTTTCGTTGAACATCACTTATAGACAAGAAGTTCGACGATTTTAGTTTTGCCTTCAAGGTTTCTACTAATAGTTATGGTAGTAGAGTTGTCCTCTCACTACTCTAAAACCATCCGATCTCGACGATACTGTACGACTGATAAACTACTAATGAATCTTTTTTTCTCCATATGTAAAGGGTCATGGAAACTCATTAGAAATTTAAACGGTATAATCCATTAGTTTATTGTATGTCAATACGATAACATAAAAAAAGCTTGTCAGCGTTGCTTCTACGAAGCAAAAATGTGAAAACTTTGTGTTGAACTGTTGGACTACAACATAGAACATGTATGAATAGAAGGAAATTAATTAAGAATAGTAGGGTGCAAGAGAAACTTCTAATTAATAGCTTTTTTTTCTGTTCATATGGAATACATTTATATTCTATCAGAATTCTCTTTTAAATCTATTATTTCTATATTACTAGATCTAGCATTATTTTTATTTTAAATTATATTTTTTCTGAAATGGTTCGACCATCGGATAAAACGATTAATATTGATTATTGATTCTGTAATAAAGAGGAAATATACAAATAACTGGAAGATAATTACAGACGTGTATAATATGTCATTAGCCCAATCTATCCTTTTTATACTAACATATAAAAATTATTAAGATCGTAATAAAATGATTAACACATAATATAACAGTAAAAGAAATATGGTGACAATTTTTAAAACTTGTGTCTAACAACATTAGATCAATAATACTGTCTGTTACTAATCCACTCAGTAGCTGTAAACACCAAATTTATATTGAAATTTGATCAATCATATTTTTACGTCAAACATTTACAGCTACTGAAACGGTGTTTACAGCTACTCAAATGTGTGTTTACTGCTACTGGAAAAAACCCTCTGCAAACCATAAAAATCCTCGTATATAAACTTTATACTTCAAACTTCCTTTTCCTTCGGGACAAGTCCTAGGAAGTTTTCACAAAATGAAACGCAATATAACACATAATGGATGGTACCGCGTTATAATCAGTTAGATAATTTCCAACCAAAAATTTATAATTTCTCGTAAAGGACACATTCTGGTGGAAGTCTGAGATGATCGATCGATTTTTCATGAAAAAGTTTGGTCTAACGAGGGAACATTCCCAAGTGAGGCACTCCGATTTTGTTCAAACCTGACAATTTATATGTAATCAAGGGCACTGATTTCAAATATGCTTCCCAGCTCTCCACGACCTTCGTTTGCAAAGTTACAGAATTTACAAGAGAAGCCCTAAATGTTTATTGTTAGCTCAGAGATATCGAAAGAAAAAGAAAAATTAATTTAAGGCTGCTCCTTTAAATTCTGTAACTTTGCAAACGAAGATCGTGAAGAGCTGGGAAGCGTCTCATTTTGATGCAAAATTTTTGGGCTATAATCCCAACATGTTGATAAAACATTGCTATGGTTTAGGGGGATCTCTAGAAAATCGGTTCTCCAGAGAAACCCTAGGAAAGGTCTATGGGCACAAACGCCTATCATATTCGAAATCAGCGCTCTTGATTACATATAAATTACCAGGTTTGAACAAAATCGGGGTAGCTCACTTGGGAATGTTCCGCCGTAAGAAACATTATCTATGTAAATATTAACTATATCAGACAAATGGTATTATATGTAGGGTGTCTTGAGACTTTATAAAGGACTTCAGTTTGGAACTTGAATTCACATCACTCTCGCATATAGCGTTACGAACCATTACAAATGACTACTTTCCAATACCGTAACATTATCATTATTGAAACACGTTAAGAATTGTTGTGGCGTTGCAACGAATTAGAAGATCTGTATCACGCTACAATACATTAGAGGTTAATGTGCTATAATGCAATAGAAATTTAGTTAACGCATTGGAACAAGGCAGAAATTGTAAAACGTTGTAACGTTATACAAATATTAACTCGATGATCAAATTTATAGGATTATAACTATACAACATACGACAATCTTGTGGACAAAAATGCATTATAACGCTATAGTTTGCATTTTTACTTACGTAACGTATTGTAACGCATTATAATATAATAAATGAATAAAAGAAAAGAAAATTTAACAGCGACATTGTTTTATTATTTAATTTTGCACTAAAAAGTAACTGCATTATCATAAGATAGGCATGTCATATGTTAACAAAGTTTGAAGTTTTAAGATTAAAAACTATTGAAAACTCATTTTCTTGTGACTTGCTCACTTGTATACCAATTTACCTTATTTTCACATCAATCTATTTTGAATAGTGAGATTAAATGTGATAAAAGTTTGATGACTCAGTCAATCGGCACCCCACGTTTTGATATTCCAACAGTACTATATCCTAGCGAAATTTTTTTCTTTTCTTGACACTCTTGCACAAGGAAAAAACGTGATGTTACGACAGATTCACCGTTTTTCATTTCGCAACGAGAGAATAAGAATAGTGGAGTGGTTGGCAACATATTTTTGTCAAAAGGTCAAATAATAAATAAAATACTCGCAGGTGATCGAAAGACGATTATGCTGACGATTCGTAGGCTTTTCCTATACCGTTTGATACTGTTTTTCTGCTACAAATACGTCGTACAACTTTGATCTTTAATTTTGAATACTTTAATTAATAAAAGAAATGCTCATTCATCTACAAAAGATTTAAATAACTGTCGAAGATAAATATGAGCTTTTTGATAAATTCTAGGTGAATTTTGTTCTCTCGGTCCAGCTATATTCAATATTTTAATATGATTTTGTTTTAACCAGTCAACAACTGTTTCGATTAATACGTCCTGATGTTCTAAATCAACAATTAACAATGGTTTATCATATTTCTTTGTTATATCAATTGTATATTGTGTTCCAGTATCGATATTATTTTGATCACCACATATCAAAACTAATGTACCATCTGAATCTCTAACATTCCATTCAGTCCGTTCACTATACACATCACTTGGCGTTTCTTTCAACTGATATTTCTCATTAATAACACCATCTTCAGCTTTTCGACCACGAGGACACCATCCACCATGGTCTATTGAATATTGAATAGCCAGATCAAGAGCAGAACGATCAACACCCGTTTGACCACCACTAATTATTTTTTGAATCATAAACACTAATTTTTTTACATAAAAATTATCTAAATTACACAAAATTCTAATTTTGCATGTTAATACTTTTAACGAAGGAATAATAGGAAAAATGTAAATAGATTTTTTGAATCATTAGATTGACAACTAATATCACTAGATAAATGAAGAGAGAAATTATTTTAAATTCTATCTTATTATGATTTCTTTTAATTTGTTTAATAATAGTAATATTACACTATACATTATCCCAGTATACAAATAATTATATAATCGATATGAAATCTATATATTTGATTATTATAGTAAACAAATATCTACTTTTTATTCTTCTCTTGTTTCCAGTCCTTAAGTGGATAATATTTAGATTTTTTTGCATCTTCAAACAAATAATAACGAAATTTTATTTTAATATTTTCTTCAATTTGCTTCATATCATCTTCATCTAATTTTAATTCAAGTGCTTCCAAATTTGTTTTTAAACGTTTTTCATTTGAACTTTTTGCTACACAAATAATTCCACGTTGCATAATATAAGCTAGTAGTATCAATGCTGTATGTTTTTGATGCTTTTTAGCTATTGCTTCAATAATTGGATCATTCATAAGCATTGGATCATCATTTTCTGCCCACGAACGTTCTTTAGCTCCTAAAATTAATGATTCACACATTATGTAAATTTAATGATGATTATAACAATTTGCTTACCTAATGGTGCATATGCCTGTAATTTAATTTTATATTTATCACAAAATGTTTGAAGAGCTTTATTTTGACAATATGGATGTAGTTCAACTTGATTGACGACCGGCTTATGTTTGGCTATATGCCAGACGCGTTCAATTTGTTCTTCTGTAAAATTTGACAATCCTATACTTTTCACTTTTCCCTCATCAACTAATTTTTCCATTGCTTGCCATGTTTCCAAATAATCAATATCATCAGCTATTTTAACATTTTCGGTCTTTGTTGGATCACCTTGATCATCAAATGCTACTGGCCAATGTATGAGAAATAAATCAATATATTCTAAACCAAGATCTTTTGATGATATATCAAATGCTTTAGCCACAAAATTAGCACGATGAAATGTATTCCAAATCTGTAATTATTGTAAACATTTAAAATAGAAATATCGTTTTTCAACGGGCTTTTTTTTGTACTTACTTTTGCTGTTATGTATATATCTTCTCGTTTTAATTTTCCATTCGATTCTTTAATCGCTTCTCTGATACCTTGTCCAACACCTTTTTCATTTCCATAGAGCCATGCACAATCCAAGTGTCGATAACCGGCTTCGAGAGCCGTTTTAACAACATGTGCTATTTCATTATCACTCGTCAAATATGTACCAAGAGCTAATTGTGGAATTTTTATGCCATTATTTAATTCTACTGTTCTGGTGTTAGAAGATGAGCTTGTGGCCATTGTGTTAGTCTAGGATATAAGGAGTATGTGTCAATAGGGCTTCATTTGAACACATTCTCATTTAGGTACATCTTATTTTAGCGTATCTTATTTAGATGCGTTTTCAATTACACCACTCATTCTTGAAAATATCTTGAAATTTTTGAACTGTTTGATATCAATTCTTAGTGGCTGGTAATAGTTTTATTTTAATTTCAAAAATAATCTTGCTTACAATATTTTCGAATAGCTTCATCATCAACACATATCATCAAATCGGAAAATTTTAAAAGCTTGTCGATCAAAACCGATTGTAGATTCGTCTTCTCCATATTCAATAACTTTTGGATTGAGGTATTTTACATGCCATGTAGTGATTTTTTCGAAATTTTTTTAGCAAGACCATGAGCAATTTTTTTGCTGAAATATCCCAACCCAAAAGTTATCACGTACAAGATAATCGAATATGAAGAAGACGAATCTACAATGGGTTTTGATCGAACAAGCTTTTAAAATTTTTCGATTTGATGATGAAACTCTTCGAACATATTATAAGCGAAGGCCAGCGTTGTTATAGCACATAATTTCCTCACCATTTAAAATATAAAACTCTCTTCTAGTCATGCGCAGAGATATCAAAGAGTTAAGTGGTAACAGTTTTATTGTATGATGTAAGAAAAGAAGGAGAACAACGTATTGTTGGCTAGCATGAAATTTCTGATGACTGTCCGTCATGTGAAAAATATGCAAAATGATGGAATGACAGCACGAAAACGCGAAAATAAAGCTGAAATTACATATCAGTATGTCTCGATCTGGCGGATGACAGCTGCTTTTTTTGTTTTACTTAGGTTCAACGGCGGTTATCTCACTGTAAATTTTGACTTCACTAACGTAACTAGAATATCAGCCATTTTCTGATCATTGCTTTGGATGAAAATTCTTTATTTCAAATACTATGCTGAAAATTGTTACCACAGTGACTGGTCTTCAATAGCTGGCCAGAACAGTGACACACACACTAGGGCTGGCTGTTTACCATTACTGTTACTAATAACAAGTAACAAAATTGTTACTTGTTACTAGTAATTAGTAACAACAGATTGCCAGTTTGTTACTTTGTTACTGGTAACAAGCAACGCAGTTATTACTTTTTGTTAGTAACAAAGTACCAAAGAACACGTTTTTTTAGAAAACAGGTGTTTTTGAAGCGATCTTAAAATTTTATAGGGTAAGGATGACTTTTATGGGTACTTTTTTATTTCTTGTTGGAGAAAGAAACAAAGGCAACGAATCACTGTGGCAAGAAACAAAAAAGTACTCAATAAAAGTCATCCTCTAAAATTTCAAGAACGCACACACACATACATTTATTTGACATGTTAAGTAGCAATAACAGTGATGATAACGATGACAAAGATTTATCCGATACTGCTGGTCCAGAATTTTTACGATTAATTGAAAAATCATTTTGTCTAAGTGTTAGAAAAATATTAGAACAGAAAAAAATGAAACGAGAAGGCATTTAACATTGATATAGTCGACCAGAAATACTTTATTATCGCTCTTAGTCACTTCTCGCTACATGTAATGAATGTGCAGCAGATATGTAGTGGATGTGTAGTGGGGTGGTGGTGGATGTGTAATGGACACTGTTGTTTTTCTCCCCTCACCAAAATGCAACGCATTCAGATGAGACACACGCATATGTCACCCATACCCGTATGTATCAGACTAAGAAAACAAACTAGAAGAAATATTTGAATATAATACTGTGGTCTACATTCTATCTTCAAACAAATCTAATGAAAAAATTAAGCAACAGAATCGAGTGCAATGAGTATTTCTGGCGTACCATCTTGTCTAACTTTTAAGAAATTTTATTATGTCCCGCAAGAGGATGATAAGACATCCCATTCACCTCTACAAAAAAATGAGCCTCAC